CTGGACAAGGAGGTGAAGCTTGGTCGGGAGATCTGTCCGAGAGGATTGCACAGACAAAGAGGTATTAATTCAACGAAGATCAAGAATGCGGTAAAGGAATGCCGGGGAGATCAAGGTGGGGGGGAGTGTGCTCTCAGACCCTTGAGCTCAGCGGCGAAGGAGATGTGGAAGAAGCATTTCCGATGTGATCATCAGCCGGCGCGGCGGGACTGTCGGACTTGTGTTGAAAGCCAGGGGAGAGGCCGTCCTCATCGACGGATACATCATCCACAGGCTTACACGCTCTCGGTGGATTTGTCGGGGAGGCTGCAGAAAGGGCAAGACCAGAGGTGTCAGGCGGAATACTTCGTCGCGGCGGTCTACACATATCCAACAGATAGGGAAGGGCGGTCATTGTTGACGGAGCATCATGAAGAGCCCATCCCGGAGGACGCCGAAGAGACCGAAGTTGACGTGTTGGAGGAAAAGGAGGATGAGGAACAGGTTCCTCCAGAAGAAGTGGACCGAGAAATCAAGGCGGTAGACATCTGGCAAAAGATGGTGGATGAGGCCCAGAATGTCGCGGTCTGGAGCCAATCAAGACCCGGAAGGTTTCGGATGTTTTGCCGGCAATCGCCAGGATCTATGCACGGCTTCGGGAGATGGGCCTGCCGGTGTATCGTCTGCACACCGATAGGGCCCGGGAACTGATGGCTTCATGAAGCGGTGGGCAGAAGATCGGAACATCGTGAAGACAACGGTTCGGGGGGTGCGTTCAAGGAGACTGGTAGGGTGGAAGCAGAGATCGGAGTCCTCAAAAGGGCAACTAGGACGTTGCTGAAGGCGGCGGAGGAGCCGGGAAATTCGTGGCCGATGGCATTGAGACATGCAGGAGAACGGAGGCTTCGAAAACAGTTGCAAGTGGTGGGACTGCCGGTCAAGGAGTTGCTCCCCTGGGGAACGACCGCTTATGTAAAGAAGAAGAGTTGGAATGAGCGGTACCAGGATTGGAGGTTTGACAGAGAGAAGGTGAAGATCATGGGGCCGGATGCAGCGATGTCATCTACCTCAGGAGGATATCGGAGCTGCGGGGACGGCAGGTACTTTGCCAAGACAGATGCCATTCGTTCTGGAAGAAAAGACGGAGCCGGACTTGCTGATGCCCTGGGCAGAGAGACCAAGCAGGCGACTGCGCGAAAAGACGGCCATGTCGACGATGATCGTCGAGGGGGAGAAGGTGACGGAGCAGATCAATTTTGAGCGATGGCACCAACATGCCACAGAGTGGGTCAAGGAAGAGCTGGAGATTCTGGATGCCAGCCAAGAAGATCAGGAACTATGGTTGGGGGTGCTACGTGAAGGACTCCAACGAAGAGGACATATTGAAGGCGGAAGAGGAATGGCTCGTGACGAAGACGATCGGCATGGGAGAAGTGAGAGGAGAGCTGGAAGAGGCGAGTACATGGCGCTGGTGGAAGAAAGCAGAGCAGTGAGAAAAATTAGGAGGAGTGAGATTGAGAAGATTGCTGGTCCAGTGGAGATCCTGCCCGGAAAAGCCGTATGCACCCGGAAGTCGCCAGATGGGAGGAGGAAGGTCAGAGGAGTGGTGTGCGGGAACTTTTCGGCAGGAAAAGGTGCTGATGAGGTGTACGCTGGAGGAGCGGACGCGCTTCAGATCAGGATGGTCCTCAGGACAGCAGCTCAGAGGAGGTGGTCTGTGCTGGGCACGGACATACACACCGCGTTTCTGAATGCGCCAAGGAGAGAGGATGGGCGGACGGTCATCATGGAGGTACCGTCCATCTTCAAGGAGTTGGGCATCGCGAAGAGGGACGAAGTGTGGGTCGTCGACAAGGCAGTGTACGGACTGGTCACTTCGCCAAGGGACTGGAGCGTACATCGGGATGGAGAAGTGAGGAAGATGAGATGGGAAGGTGGAGGAAAGAAGCTCAGGTTTGCGGAAACCAAGGAGCCGAACCTCTGGCACATCGTTGAGATCGAGTCGGGGGTCATTGTAGGCCTCATGTCGATCTATGTTGATGACGTGTTGCTGGCGGGTGAGGACGAGGTGATCGACTCAGCGAGAGCCACAACGGATGGAGGAAACTGGAGGTTATCGCCGGCAGAACGAGTCACAAGCGAGGTGCCGTTGCGATTCTGCGGGTTCGAGATCTACCAGAAGGACGGTGGGTACCTAATCAATCAGAAGGCCTTCGCGGAGGATCTCACGGCCAAGTGGGGGATAGAGGACGGCACGGAGACCTTGACCTACAAGTTGCCAGATGAAGAATGTGAGGATGGCACTCCGGAGGACGTGAAAGAGGCACAGGCCATCACGGGAGCACTGCTGTGGCTGGCGGCGAAGACAAGGCCAGACATCAACGTGGCGGTGGCAGCAATGTCGAGGTGGACGAAGAAAGGAAAACATGTGGTGAAGATGGGCAAGGACGTGCTGAAGTATGTGAAGGCCACAGCAGACCGAGGCCTGAACTATGGGGTAGCTGAGGGATGGGCGTCCAAGCAAGGATTGGGGATGCGGAGACAGCAGAACATGGTGGAGGTCTTTGCGGATATATCCTATGCTTCGGGAGGCCAGGACAAAAGCGTGCAGGGGATCATTGGCTTCGTGGATGGAGCTCCGGTGTGCTGGGAGACAATCCGGCAGCCATTTGTGGCACAAAGCACGGTGGAGGGAGAGCTAATCGGGTATTGCGAGGCGCTTACCGTTGGCAGAGCACTGGTGGCATTGGCGGAGGTCGTCACTGGAGAGGCGGTGAAGCACAAGCGCATGTACGGAGACAACATGGCGGCCATCAGCCTGGCTTCGGAAGGGGCGGGAAACTGGAGGACGCGGCATCTTCGGATTCGAGCTTCAGCACTTCGGTGGGCCTTGGAAGAGGGCGAGTGGGTGCTGGAGCATATGCCGGGGACGCAGTTGGTCGCGGAAGGCTTGACGAAGAGGCTGCAAGGACAGACCTTCGGCAAGTCTCTGGTCGAGCTTGGAATGGTTAGGGAGGGCCAGTGGGCCAAGAATAAGAGCCATTGGGCCAAAAAAGAAGAAAAGAAGATCGCCAGGGAAAATGAACCGGCGGCAGTAGATGGGCCAGATGGAGCCGAGAAGGCAAGAAAGGTTAACAAGTTGGGCAGGGGAGATGAACCGCCCAAGGGAAAACCCCCTCCAAGTGAAGGCCCGGGAACTGTTTCCCACTGCCCAAAGGGCTGCCTTCGTTTTTTGGGGCTGGGTAGGGCCAAAGCCATGGTGGCACCAGTCTCATGGCTGGAGCGGATGGCGTCAGCCCAGAAATCATGGAGGTCACGAATGGCGGTGAGAGCAAGAGTGAGGAGGGCATCTTCTTGGTGGGGGTGATCCTCATGATCATCGGTGCATTAGTTGTCGCGAAGGAGACGGCTAAGGGAACCTTGGGTTGTACGAAAAGGCTGATGAAGGTCACCGCATTGGTGGACCGAATCGGAGAAGATCCGAGGATCGAGGCGCAGAAGAAGGAGACCAAGGTCGCCTACGACAAGTGGGGAAGAGTGTGGAGACGGTGCCAGGGGCTTGAGCAGATTGACAGCTCTTCATCGAGGTCGGAGGACGGTGAGGAGGAGGTTTTGCAGCAATCTGTGCCAGACACGAGCGGCGCAGAAGCAACAACGAGGACGAAGAGAGATGATGCGGCATCCGGCAAGGCTGCTGCGAGCACTGCTCGGTTGGAGGGGAGGACCATTGCGGAGGCTGTGGAGGAGACAAGGTCTAACCTAGCGGTGCGGGCAGGACTGGCGAGACGAAGCTGTAGTTCTACATGGAACCAGCTTCAGCATGACAATCGCGGACGCGGGACGGCGAAGCAGATGAAGCAGAAGTACTGGGAGATGATGCAGGCGGTCAACAGGTGAGGGGCTTGAGCGGAATCTTGCAGATGCGAAGGCATCTTTTTGCAAGACTTTTTGCGAAGTGGGTAAATAATCCCACGGGGGCTTTTCGCTACGAGTAGCGAGGGGGAGCCCGTTGAGGTAGGTTGCAAACATGGGGTTACCGAAGCCCCTTTGAATCAAGGAACAGAGGAAAAGCGCGGTTTGCGCATAGCAAGCGGAGAAAAAGCGCTCGCCGTGAATCCAGCTCATGACCAGGCAAAAAAACGCCGTTTCACCGGCAAATTACGCCGTTTTGACGGCAAATTGAGCCGTTTTGCAATTTTGATTGATGCTAGAGTGTGCAAACACTGAAAACTGCCGGCAGGCGAAAATAATCGCCGTTGGGTCAAAAAACATAGTTTTTGCCAAAACAGCAATAGTTTTGCACATGTTGGAAGGCCCAGGTATACACACGTAGCCACTACCAAAAAAAACAAGCGGTGGACTTTAAATTGCATGATGTTGGACGATTTAGTTGCAAACAACAAGCCCTGGGACTGTTCCGACGTGCTCAACCAAGAGAGAAAACAATTCCTGGGTGGCGCCTGACGGTGTCAAACATCGGCTTCGAGTCTCAAGAGCCTCTTTTCGCAGGCGTCTCCAAAGCAATGCAAAGTTTCATTTTCGAGTGCCCCGTGCTTCAAGGCAAGCGACTGTAGCGGGGAACGAGGGGCGGACCATCCAAATTCCCAAAGTCGACGTTTTCATCTTCTAGGTGTTCCTTTTTGGACGATTTCTAGCCGTTTTAGACCATGTCTACTGAAGGTCACACAAGGTCAACCATTTGCTTCCAAGTCCTTTGGGCAGGTGAGATTGTTGGTATCCTAAATTTTGAACAGAGTCTGACAATATCATGTTTGCTGCTGTGTACCACAGATGTGGGACACCTTGTTTTGTACCCCATGTGCAAACCTGGTGGGAGCTGGAATGCCATGCCTTTGTTTATTGGAAGAAACACAAGTACATTGGTAAATATAAATATATATATATACACATATGCAAACATACATCTATGAATATATATATATATGCACATCCGCTGTTTAAGGGTATGGTTTTCTACACGTTGCTGGTTTGGAGCCTTCTGAAGGGGGACGCTCGCTGAGGCAGGAGTGCTTCGAGAATGCATTTCAGCCAATCGCTCCTGGGCAAAAGAACTTCCAGTGGATCCATTTATCTGTGTAGCCTTCCCAGTGCTTCCAGGCAAGCTCTCAGCGGGGATTGTGGGAATGCCCCTACAACGCTACAAGCCATCGCCTATCTATGGTGTCCTTTAAGGAAATCCCTGGCTTCATTCCCAAAACCATGGGTTATTCCCCACTGAGCAGCAGCAAGTATCGTAGGTAGCCAGGGCAAACAATCCATGAACAATTGTTGAAGGGGAGAAGGTGTCAGCACAGCCCCAGTGGTTCCACTTGCTCAGCGGCAGCTTTTGTAGCTTCAATACCAAGGGTCAACCCGAGGCTTGAAATGCCTGTATTGAGACAATATGTGTATATGTATATGTATATGTAGGCTATATGTACGTGTACATATACATATATATATATATATATATGTGTAGTCCATGCTTGGATCAACAAATGCAACACATGTGTCCAAGTTGGTTATTCCGTCAGGAATTTGATTTTAGACCCTTTGATGGGCATCATTTCGGTGGTGACTTAGTCATGTCCTACCATTTGTCAGTTGGTTCCCTAGTGCAAGTCATAGCCAACTGAGTCACAATCAAAACCCGGGTATGTGAAGGTTAGTAAGGGACAATCCCAACCATAAATAGCTGCGCCTGCCTTCTTAATGCTTTACATGGTTCTGGGTCGACCATTTTAATACCGGGGTTTGATTATGACTCGGGTGGTTTCCTAGTGCAAGTCATAGCCAACAGGGGTACCGACCAATTCGGAGATGGAGATGTCGCGTATTTTTTCTCCCGAACGAGGAATGTGTCAACGATATGCCGCTTCAGAAGCTTCCGACGCTGCTGCTTGGCAGACAGAGCGATGGGCGGAATGGGCGCAATGGGCCGAAAGGGAATATAGCTGGCCCTCAAACCATTAACTTCCATTTGCTTAAGAATATTTGTTTTATTTGTCCCTCTTGGTTTTAACGGGCATCCATCACTACTGGAAATATGTTGTTTTTGTCCAGGCGGCTTAAGCAAATGGAAGTCAAAAGAAGGGAATTCACCCCATGGTTTTGGGGCAACAAGCAGTTCTTCAAAAAATGCAGACGGTTTAGGTGCATAGATTTATGCATATATATATATATGGTCACCCCCCCCCCATGATCCACATTTTGCCTCTCGCAAGCAAAAAACACTGGAAAAACACATGTAAAATGCTTGTTTTTGACCACCTGTTCCAGGATCAGATTCTGATCCTGGAAACTTGGGTCAAAAACAAGCATCATTCTTGATGAGTAGATTAGTCAAAGATTGCGACATTCTTGATGGACAGATGTTAGGCACCTTGAAGCAGATGCTTACAGATGGTTTGTGTGGACAGCCTTCTGGAAAAAAAGTTAGCAGGGAGCAGATGGAACTTATGGAAGCAGCATGCAGAAAGTGCTGTACTGTCCCTAAAATCCAGGCTTTGGAGGCTGAAAGTGCTGTACTGTCTAAAAAACCTAAAAAACCATTCCAAAAACAGTCTTGGGCACACAAACCTCCTTCTGGCAAGGAATTTTTGGTTTTTTAGGGACAGTACAGCACTTTTTTTGGTTTTTTAGGGACAGTACAGCACTTTTGAGTCAGCATGCAGAAAGTGCTGTACTGTCCCTAAAATCCAGAAAGTTCCAAAAACAGTCTTGGGCACACAAGCCGCCTTCTGGCAAGGAATTTTTGATTTTTTAGGGACAGTACAGCACTTTTTTGGGTTTTTTAGGGACAGTACAGCACTTTTTTTGGTTGTTTAGGGACAGTACAGCACCTTGGAGCATCAGCACGCAAAAAGTGCTGTACTGTCCCTAAAAAACCAAAAAAAGTGCTGTACTGTCCCTAAAAAACCAAAAAATCATTGCCAGAAGGAGGTTTGTGTGCTCAAGACTGTTTTTGGAATGTTTTTTTTTTTTTTTTTTATGTTTTTTAGGGACAGTACAGCACTTTCAGCCTCCAAAGCCTGGATTTTAGGGACAGTACAGCACTCTGCATGCTGATGCTCAAAAGTGCTGTACTGTCCCTAAAAAACAAAAAAAGTGCTGTACTGTTCCTAAAAAACCAAAAAAATCCTTGCCAGAAGGAGGTTTGTGTGCCCAAGACTGTTTTTGGAATGTTTTTTTGGGACAGTACAGCACTTTCAGCCTCCAAAGCCTGGATTTTAGGGACAGTACAGCACTTTCTGCATGCTCATGCTCAAAAGTGCTGTACTGTCCCTAAAAAACCCAAAAAAGTGCTGTACTGTCCCTAAAAAACCAAAAATTCCTTGCCAGAAGGAGCTCAAGACTGTTTCTGGAATGGTTTTTTAGGTTTTTTTAGGGACAGTACAGCACTTTCTGCCTCCAAGGCCTGGATTTTAGGACAGTACAGCACTTTTAAGCATGCAGAAAGTGCTGTACTGTTTTTTAAAATTGTGGATGTGGGAAGGCAGTAGCAGATGTTTGTCACTCCGACGAGCTGGCTTGCATTTTTCTTGCCTTTTTCCTTCGAGCGCATATCCGGTAATCACTGCTTGTGCAGTGCCTGCAGCATCTGGCCGGTCAACTCCCACATATTAGCGCGGCGATGCCAGTATTCAAACTGTGCGGATCTCAGCTTTCGCAAGAGAACCTGACTGCTGGGGATTCTATTCGTGTGTTTCAGGTGAGATCGAAGGGTGTTCCAGAACCGGTCGATGATCTGGGTGCCGCTCTTCACACGCACCTTCTTCCCGTCCGGCAGCTTGACGTCGTACTGCTTGGTGTAGTGGGGCTTCACCCAAACGGCCTGACAGGAATAACAGAATCAAGTAGATCCCTTAAGAGGCAGTTAAAGCAGTTTAGGTCAGAGTTACTTGCCTTGCCGTTGATGACGATGCGCTTCTTCTTGTGCACGACGTTGCAATGCCTCACGTCCGGCAACCTGAGCTTGTAGGCTCTGGCCCCATCGCTGTGGAGGATGACTTTCCGGCCCGCGATGTGCTTTTTCGCAATTGGCTGCCAGTCCCTCTTCCTGATGGGACCTGGCCCCGGAGATCTCTTTTTGGTGAGGATGGGGTTGAGCCTGAAGAGCACCAGCGAGGATGGCCTTCCTCGCTCCACGAGTCCACCCCACTGTTCCCATTTCGTGTTGAGGTTTCCCGCCACGCTCTCGTCGGTCAACTTGCCAATGTCGACCTCGTCCACCTCCACGTCCTCCCACTTCCCGCCGAAGACAATGTCCTTCTCCTTCTGGGTGACGTACTGCGAGCGAGCGACCTCCAGGTTGTGGTAGATGCGCTCCACTGGCTTGTGGTCCATATCCAGGAGCAGGTGCGCCGCATTGCTCGAGACCCCCACCACCGCGCAGAAGAGGACCGCCACCTGCTTCTGAAGTGGAGTTGAAGAATTGCCAGCAGACATGAAGAAGATGGGATGGTAGTCATGAGGCTGAAGTTGCTTGTGGCAGGCAGGCTTCTTGCACCGGTACGCCCAAATCTTCTTGTCATGGTAATACTTCAGGGGCCCCATTACGCCGTTGCCACATCGAGGGCAAGTTCTGCCTTCCCAGTCTGTGAGGATCTTGTCCTTGTGGAGCTGCTTGTGGAGACGCTGTCCAGTCAAAGAGTCCCAAGTCAAAATCGAACGCCCCCAGCGCGCTCTGTGGCCTTTGTTCTTGGTAGTGGGCATGCCATGGCGGACATATGGCACCGGAGCAGGATTCTTTGAGGCAGGCCTTCGCTGCACGCGCCACTTCCCCCGCTTAGGATCTGGGAACTTGGCCTTCACGGACTTCATGACCTTCTTTGGCATGATGGGCAAGATCAACTACAAAGGATCAAGGCGATTGAAGCAGATGGCTGCGTGAACGATCAATGCGATTCGCTTCCAAGCAACATGTGCAAGCAAGATGGCACTGGAGACCTAATGTTTTTTTAGCCAAGCTCCATGTCTCTATTGGGGTTATATTTCTATCTAGAACAAAATCCGCTGAGTGCGGCTCACACGCGGCTCAGTTGTCGTCAATGTCCATGGCATCCGCGAGTTCTTGGGAAAGGGTTCGGTATGCCTCGATGTCATACTGGTCGGGAATCTCGTCCATAGGGTCCACCACATCAGGAGAAGAAGCCGGCAAAGGCACAAGGACCTTGGTCTCATCCACCACATCGGCTGCTGGAGGAGCTGTAGGGTCAGAAAGCTTCTCCACAGGGTCCACCGCATCAGCTGCAGCCGGTGCAGCAGAGGCTGGGTCACTTGCATCCTCAGACGTGTCTGACAGGTTGATCACCAGAGGGCGCAGGTTCAATGGCTTGGAAAAGTAGGAGGGATCCACTGGCTCTTGCTTGATGTGCACCTTATGCGTCTCCTCTGGTTCTTCTTTGATACCCTGCACGTCCTCATCCTTCTCTTCTTCTTTTGTTTTCTGCTCATCCTCGTCCTTCGGCTCGTCTTTGGCATCCTGCGCATCTTCGTTCTCCTTCTGTTCTTCTTTTGTTTTCTGCTCATCCTCGTCCTTCGGCTCGTCTTTGGCATCCTGCGCATTCTCGTTCTTGATCTCCTTGAGCAAGCTGGAAGAGGACTTCACAGATCGAAGCTTCTTAGTGGGCGGCTCGTCGACGGCAGCGCCAGCATCCAGGTAGTACTTGGTCTTGCCCTCAATGCCCGCGAGTGTTGGTCGATCTTCAATGACGTACTCCCTTCCTGAGAACAGTTCTTTCCCCCGGGTGGTCGCACAATAGCGGACCTCCTCGCCATCCAGCGCAGCCTGCAGCAAGTTCAAACTCCACTGCATGTCTTTGTCATGATCTGCCGGCAAGTGAGAGAGGTTACCGCGCTTGTAGGCAGCCAAAAGGGGTCGGGCAGATGGAGAGATCATGCCAATATCCCGCTCTGGCCAGGCATACCGGGGAACGGGTTTGCGGTCTGTGCCTGGCACACGTACGTACATGCCCACATCGGTGAAGACGATGAAGGTGGATCGCTTGAAGACACCGACAAGGTCCTCTTCATCGAAGTCCCTGTGGAAGGAGGGGCGCACGATCTTGTAGAACTGCTCGAAGGTCACGGTGTCCTGAGTCGAATTGGCGTCCATCGGCGGCTCTGCAGTCCTGTCATAGGGATTACTGCAAATCTGGCATAGCTGATTCTTCGCGTACGAGGACGCGTTGTATCTTGCCATTGTCTTCCTGTCGACGCCGTCCACCTCCGTCACTGCCTTAACACCTGCGGGATGCTCCAGGTTGAGGTTGCCATCATCAAACACCCTCGGTTTCGTCCGCCTGCCCTTCTCCTTGCGGAAGTAGTCGAGGTGGTTGCATGTCTGAAGGAAGGGGGCAAGAAAGACATCATTAAGCACATCAAATTCCCAGAAGGTGCAAAGGTCCTCCACAGCTCCATCATCTCTATGTGCCAGGGCGTTCCACTCGAGATCGACTTGCAGGGCAAGTACCGCGATGGTGGTCGAGGACTACAGTACATGCTCGAGGGGCTGGGCGGCTTCCAGGTCCGCTACCAGAAGCTCGTGTCCGCCGGTGCCTCGAGCAAAATGCCCAAAGAGACGGAGGACATCCGCAAGGGCTTCGCCTATATCCGTCAGTTTGGCCCGGAAGAAAACTCCGACGGGCAATTCACAGTGTGGACGGAGGAGCAGGTCAACGATCCGAACGGCCCGCTCCACAAGTGGGACAAGGGGACCATCAAGGACTTCCTGAGGTGCCTCGCGGACCAAGGCTCTCAAGCTAATACGATCAAGGAGTGGCCTCTCACCTTCAAGAGCATCACGCCGTGGGCTTTGAACACTATCCTTGCACCGATTCTTCCTCATGTGATGCCCCGCTCCGTTATCTGGATTGGCAAGTCTCAGGTGGGTA